TGTGTCACATATCTCTTCTGGTATATGGCAGTTTCTGTCAAATAAAAACATTACAGTGTACTCATCCACCTTATTCACCAGATCTGGCACCATGCGGCTTCTGGCTCTTTCCCCAAAGTCAAATGACCATGAAAGGTAAACGTTTTGAATCGATTCAGGACATTGAGGCAGCCAGGACATTACAACTAAAGACACTCACGAAAGAGGACTTCCAGAACTGCTTCAGAAAGTGGTAAGAACAATGGGATAAGTGTGTTCGAAGCAAGAAGTAGTATCCTGAGGGGGATTAATGGCAATGTGTCTTACTGTAATACGGTTATTTAAACATCCACTGTATTTTTTTATCACATCTCGTATGTTATGCAAATAACCCTAAAGCTAACTGTTGATTATCCAAATGTGAATTTACTGGGTCATAGATCAAAAGTGTGATTTTAAGGTTTAGTTTTCACCTAACCTGTTTCTTGACTCTGAAACAAAAGTTCTTTTGAAACCCTTAGAATTCTGGAGGCAGTGAGTCCTCAGCAAACTTTTAAACTTAAATTGTACCTGCTCCTTTTAACTTTTCCACTACAAACACATCCTTCATCATAACTACTTCTTCAATGTGGTAGCAAATAAAATTCCCCAACAGGAAAGATAGTAACATGAAAACTGAGCTGATCACACATATTTGTGAGAAGCAATAATTCTCTCACAGTTTTTAAGTTATGATAACGTAAGGATAATAATTAACAACAGTAAATAAAACTAACCGTAGGAGGCATATCCTTGGAAAATGCTTCCATTAAACAGTATTGAGAAGGTATTGGCTGTACATAACAAGTTTTGAGCTTAAAATCATGTATGATAAATTTCTCTTCATCAACAGAAAAAACAGATGACTGGAAGGACAACATTCTCCAAGGAAGATATGAAATATGAAACTCCATTTAGCCAAATATGAATTTGATATAAAAAAACTGACAGCTGGTTCCTTTCAATTATACTTTGCCACTAAAACTCACTATCCTTGAGAAAACATTAGTTATTATAATTATGTTTTTACCCTCATTACATAAAATCACATAAAATTGTGCTTGGCCAAAAGTCATAAAAATAGTTCAGAAAAGAAATTAAGCATTTCTGATTCTTTTTGCAGGCCCAGTGTCACTTGAGCCTGGATAAATAAATTACCAAGTCATCTAATTTAGCGGGGTGTAAGGGTTACAAATCCATTCAAGACATTGTCGCTTAGAGGCACTAATCAGATCTGTTGTCAAAGAATCCTACATGATAAGAAGCATTGTCATACTTTATGGTCTTCTTAGTTGTATTTCTAGATGGAAATATACCAAAAACTTAACAGTGGGGTATATCTCTGGGTGGATATAATTATGGATAATTTTATTTTAAATCAAGAAATCAAAAATAAAAGATTAAAGACATTCACATTTCACACTATTTCTTAATGAGGGAGAAGAGAAACCAAATTTGGTACAGAATTTTCTCACAAAAATCCACAACACATTTAAATGTCTATTAAGTATGATAATTACCATACCATATAATTATCAAATATAAAAAAAATTACTCATTTTACTAATACTATAGCAAATCTTACCTCAAGTCTCCACACCAAACTCAAATTTGTTGCATTTTGAAAATGTTAAACTGTTGTCAGAGTTACAAAATCTTGAAATACAGAATACCTAAAAATAAACAAACAAAAAAACCCTTCCTTTACCTCTACAGTACTCAAGACTGTCAGGTGTTAGTTAAAATAAGAAGCAAGCATGGATTTCACATTTTTTTTGGAAACAGGTTATGATTGCTGATATGGTTTTTCTTATAACCACACATCAAAACTTTCAGTTTAGATGGCTTCCTTTTTTTTATATAACAATATTGACCATTCTGATATAACAGGTGAAAAACTCCAGACGTGGCAGTAATTTTCACATACTATTATTGTCTCAGTATTATACATCTTGATAGCAATTAACATTTATCAGTTTTGACAAAGTTCTTGAGATTGAGTTTAAACCTTTTATATAGTAAAGTGGAACAGCACTGAATTAAAAATCCAAGGGAAAAAAATACCATAAAAAGAAGAGTCCTATTTAATCTCCGAAGAAGCTATAGAAAGGCAAGGAGGAGATAGTTATTCTGTCTAGTTGGAATTTTATTCAGTTGTGCCAACTGAATCTGGTAAAGGGGTTAGAAGAAGGGAAAGGAGATAACACAGCAGTGGGATGTTGTTCTGGGCATAGAAAGCAGCATGTAACTGCACATTGGCAACAGTGAGAAAAGTTAACAAAAACAGACTAACATCTCCTGTCAAGAAGATGTACTTGACAGTATAGTGAGTAGGTGAGTAGGAAGTGGCATTTGAGATGCAGGCTGGGGTGCAGTAGGAAAGATCCTTGGTGGTAAAGATGAATAGCTTAAATATAATGCAAAATACAGTAAGGATCCTGTGAAGCAAGTCCGGAACCCATGATAATGGCTACAGTATAGCTTTTCAAACTGTCTAACGGGTAAATATTTAGACAAGGAGTCTTTAAAGGGGAGGCTATAAAAATTACAAGAGAAAATATTCAAACTTTGTGTTTTTTTTTTTCTTTTAGAAATAAAAACATAACAGGGATTTAGCGGCACCAGAGTTGTTTGTTGTCTGTTTCTGGTGTTTTCATAATTTGAATAAATAGGAGGAGGAAAACAAAATGAAGTAAACTCAAGTTTAGGTACTTAAGAAATAGTCACGTGACCAAATCCAAAGAGAAGAAAGGGGATAATTCAGGTAGGTGAGTAGGATCCTAAAAATTACATGGGATAAGAAATTCTTGGCAACTAGTCAGTTTTAAAAAGTGTTTAGAAAGACACAGTAAAAATAAAATAAACAGCAAAATAAATAATAAAGACAATGATTTATTATATCCTAAAAGTTTCAGAAAGAATAATGTAATATAGTTACAGGAATGAATCACTTAATGTGCTAAAACAATTTACCAAATTACAAGTAAATCTCTTAAGATTCTTTTTGGTTAAATGCAAGTCTAGTTTATTTAAATAGCTGATTCTTGTTTTTTTCAGAAATAAGTTATATTTCAAGTGGAGAAATTTTACTAAAAATTCTGAAGAATTCAGCTATTCATCATTAACCCTTAATAATTAAAACAAATTTAATAATGAAGGCTTATTGCGTACTGCACTTTTAAATTTATTCCTTGCCCAGTGTTATTTGAATGCTTAATAAATATTATTAGACCTTAAGGCTGAGAAGTTGATACTTAGCAAATTCACCACGTTTACCACTAGGTGGCGAAAAAAACCAAGTAGTATCTGTCATCAAAGCTAGTACAAGAGCCCAAGCACTGAAGCAACTAGAATTTCCACCAGGTGTCAACCAAGAGTGGAAAAAAAAGGAGACTATTTTCCTCCACTGAAATACACAAATTCATAGTTTTAAGTATAACCATCTAAAAACTCTATCAGAGATAAATGACCTGCCATTTACTTTCCAAATAGTTGGCATATTTTTACCCTCATATAATGTTGTTGAGTCCAATATATTGTCTTGTCAACTAAAATCCAACTAAATAAAATTTTGTTTCTTCCATGTAAGTAAAAAAACAGCAAGCTCAATGAATTCAGTTTATTGTGACTCATAGGGTCAAGTTATCCAAATACATGCACGAGTCTAAAACGTTTTAGACATGGACGGCCCAAACGCTTCCAAAGTATATTTGGTTATGTATAGATAGTTTCAGATTCTTTTTTTTTTCTGTTTCTCTTATAAGCAGTTGTTGCTTATAAAAAAATCTAGATAAATTTGTTATGCTTTTAATTCCAGTGTGATTTTATAAAAGCATTGCCATTTGTTACCAAAACATTCACAAAAAAGAGACAAATGTGTTTGTCTTTAAGATGTACTGAGTACTATGTTAAACAGTCCAAGGCTGAAAATTAAAGCTTTACAGAATTAAGCCCTACTTATATTCCAAATCATGCTTTTTAAAAAGCCATCTTATGTGCTTCACTAATTCCTAACAAAGATTTTCTGATCTTGTTGCAAACATGTCAGCTAAAACACTATGTCATGCTGCCTTTTATAAGGCGGTACTTTTTAAGGTGGAACTCTATTCTTAATCCTGGGAATACAGGAGTTATAATCATGTCATACCCTGCAACTCTAGCTGTAGGTGGTGTCTTAAAAAACACTTTTCCTTCGAGGAAGTGGTCAAGCCTTTCTTCCCCTGGTGTCATCATGCAAACAACTTGGTTGCTTTTCACTACTATCTAATTAAGAGATGGAAGAGAAAGAAGCTGAGGAAAAAGCAAAACCTACTGATTAAATTACACTTGCTTCTCTTACTTGCTCCTTAAAGTATTCTCTTTTAAGGTTCCTTTGGCCTTGCTTGACTGAGTTCATTTCCACCCTGCCTACAAAGCAGTGGCTTTTTTAAAAAAAGAAACTCTAAGCCAAGAATGCTCTTGTCTAAGAATATTATTCCCTGTCTGGTTTTATTACGTTTTCCTCTGAAATTCGTAGATTATGCTCAGCAACCAGCCGCTTGCCCAACCGGTTTCTCCCCTTCCCCCATCGTCCTTCACTCATCACTTTTTCCTACTCCCATCCAGGCAGTAGTCAAAACCCTGCAGTGCCTGGAACGCATGCTTCGGGCTGGTCACTCAGCAGTTCACCCTTACTTGGCTTTACAAACAACTCCCCACCCAACCCTTCTCCCCTAGTGGCCCCTCTGCCATTATCTTTCCATAGAGTGCTCGGAAGGGGCTCCTGATAGCACTTCGAGGGTTTACGGTAGCCTGCCTGCCTACCAATAGGAGCCCACAATGAAGAGAAGTCAGGTTCAGCCTCCCAGCAGCCCCAGTGTCTTCTTCCCCGAGCTGTACACCTACTGTATGAGCATGCGAGCGAGCGAGAGAGCGAGCAAGGCGCGGGAGGGGGCACGCAAGGAGGGCGGGCAACAGCCGCGGCAAGCGCATGCGCACTGGGGTTGTTTTTCACAAAGCTCCTCTTTAAAGTGAGCTGGCAGCCTCCAGCCGCCCGTCTTTGTAAGGAGACCACTGAGACTAGCAGTAGCGCGGAGCAGCAGCCTCTCGCTGCCCTGACTTTTTAAGAAATCTCAATGAACTATTTGTAAGGAATCACTGATCTTGCCTGCAAGCTTTTTGCACGGCAAAGACATCGATCAGTGTTAAGTGAAGATCACATTTTATATGTGATCTTGACTTTTTTGTCTTACATTGTATTTTTATAGATTTTGTTATAAACATGGTGCTGGGAAAGGTGAAGAGTTTGACAATAAGCTTTGACTGTCTTAATGACAGCAATGTCCCTGTGTATTCTAGTGGGGATACAGTCTCAGGAAGGGTGAATTTAGAAGTTACTGGGGAAATCAGAGTAAAATCTCTTAAAATTCATGCAAGAGGACATGCGAAAGTACGCTGGACCGAATCTAGAAACGCCGGCTCCAATACTGCCTATACACAGAATTACACTGAAGAAGTAGAATATTTCAACCATAAAGACATCTTAATTGGACACGAAAGAGGTAAGTTTTTATATTACTCAAATCGTTAAATCTGTTTTCTTTGGGAAAGCACCTTTTCAATTTTTCTGAATTGATGGAATTCTACTCCTCGCATAACGCACAGCAGTTTGATAAAGATTAGCAAAGTTGGAAGATTTGGATTCTCCTTGACATTCATCGTGTGTTAAGTCGTAATGCATGCAGGCATCTGCAAAGTGACTGGAAACTGCACTTATTCAACTACCTCTATACCCGGCTTGGTCTGTGCCATACGCATTTGCAATCCATATGCACCTTACTTATAAATTCTGCTTAAATCCAATTCAGTAATTTTATCAATATGTTTTCAACTGAATTGCTAAAAGCTGCAGTCCAATATGAGATTTTGTCCTTGTACTTTGCAACCTTAGATCTTAAAAACTAAGCTTCAGTGAAGACATGGAATAACATTATTAAGTGGGTTAATAGGCAGATTTCATTTTTAATATTGACACGCAAAAGACTTCAAAGAATTGATCATTGTTCTTTGATAAAGGGTTTCTGTGGCTTATTTTGACATATGGTATCAACACCCCACGTGTTTTTTTCCCTATTCTTTCCAGTTCCTTTAGAAATTTATATCAAGCATTCTGTATTTTAAAGGACAGTATTTATCGTTATGATAGGTTTCAAATCAGTTTTAGAAGCCATTTAGGATCAGTAATTTTTTTTCCCGAGCATCATGCCTAACTTTGGAACGTGCATTCAATGAAATCCATGCAGGTCAAATGAAATTGAAAAGTATTCGGCACATTGGATTTGATTTTTGGTTAGAAAAGGGAGATAAAGGGTTGTCAAAGGGAGAAAGGGTCCTGAGATTTCCAATCGATTGTTTAAATCGTTACATTGTGAAAATATAGGAGACTCTAAGCTTGTTTTTCTAAGTTTCCACCCTTTGTTAGAAGCGGTTCAATCCTGTTTCGGACCAGTTCTGGGGGGTGGTGAGGAGGGGCGCTTATTCAGCTCTCAGCAGATTGGTTACACGCGTCAGGTGGTGGCGATGACTTAATTCCTAGACCAAGAAGAATATAATGTTAAAACTGGTTATGTAATTTTGTACTTCTCCTTTTTTAATGCAGTATTTAGCTCAAATGTTGACTATTGTTTAAAGACTAGAGCACATTTCTACCTTTGTTTGTAATATTAAAAAACATACATGCCGGAGGAAGTGCTAATTGAACTACCGCAAGTGTAGAAATGAAGGATGCTTTCAGTTACAGCATTAATGCACAATTATTAAAAATATTAAGATGAAATCAACTCTGCAGGATGCAAGTTACCTACGCATAGGTATATGTGTAGGTAACTGAAATAATTTCTAGCTCATGTTTCCGAGCAGTAATGCTGCTAAGAAATGCATGCCTAATGACAGTCCTGGTATTTGCTGAAAAGCAGATACATGAGTTTGTGTTTGAACCTTTCTGGACATTGCAGCTTTTTATAAAATGGATGAGAAGAAACAAAGGTTGTTTTTTTAAGGATTTGAGGCTTGCAAGAGCGTAAAAGTAGAATAACGATTTATGGAAACAGTTTCATTAGTTGCTCCATGGTTTCATTATGTGGAATTATGCGTCCCGTACCCCCACGCGATGCCCCACAATCCCTGCAAAACGTGGACGAGCTCCTACCCTGGAATAGTTTCAATGACTTAAAACTGGGACCTCTCAAACTAGCCTGGTAACGAGACCCCGCCCCAGGTGGCCGGCGATAGGCGGAGCCGGGTTTGTTAGCCTGTTGCTAAGGCGATGCCAGGCTCTGATTGGATTGGGCGCGGGCGGGTGGGGAGAGCGCCGGCCGGGGCGAGGCTTGGATCCGGCGTGCGCCGGTAAAGGTCCCTCCAGGGCGGTCGCCCCCGCCCCTGCTCGCATCGCTCCCGGGGCTCCTGGCCGTGCCCAGCGCCCAAGTCACACGTATCACGTCCTGTTGCCCCTTCACCTTGGCCTGTTTGGCCCCCAAAAGAAACGGCTTCAGGTGTCAGCGGAGTAGAGGGGAGACGCTGCCGCGGGCCTTACAGGTGCCGAGTGGCCCTGGGCGCAACTTCAGCTGACAGCCCTCTTCAGAGGGAACTTGGGAAGGGCATGGTGCGCAGGGCCCCATTTTCATTTTTTTTCGGGTGGAAGGTGTCAGGTGGCTTCTGTTAAGGCGTGTTTTCCCTCTTAGCTAGAACAGTGTGTTTCGCACCTATGTAGTCACCCGACCGGCTACCTTCATTGGACCGGAGGGGAGAGACCGCAAAGGCTGGCCAGGAGGAGGAGGAGACGCGGTGGTAGCAGCGAAGGCTGGGGAGGGACCTTGGCTGCTATTCCTTGCTCCCTTCATTGTGTGCCGGGGCCTGTCCTCCCCTCCCCCCATCTCTCACCGCCCCCGTTTCCTCCTCCGCAACTGTAAAGGTGTCAGGGTGGCCCGAGCCAGATCGAACCGGTCACCAGCTGGGGCGTATAAAGCGGAAGCGCCGCGGCACGGCCGCCCCGCCCTCCGCCCAGCAGGCTAGGCTGCGCGAGCGCAAGCGCCGGCGACGTATGCCGTATGTATAGCGGGGCGCGCGGGCGGCGGCGGCGGCGGCGCGCGGGCAGGCCGGCTAGGATCTGCTCGCGCCGGTTTAGGCCGGTCCTCTCCTGCTCCGGTCTAGTTCTTGATTGACAGCCCGGCACTTGTTTACCACCGCGCGGGTGCCGCCGCCGCCGCCGCTCGCCTCAATGAGACTGCTGAGCTGGCACAAAAAGGGAGCGAGAAAGGATGAAAGGGAGAGGGAGGCAAAGTTTGGGTGCTTTCGAGGGCAACGAATTTAAATAGCCCCCAGATCACCAGCCGGTTTTTGGTGCTAAAATTCGTTCAGAAGATTTGCACTGGGGATAAGGAAGATAGTACTGACATAAAAGCGAAAATGGTTGAATAAAAGTATCTCCATTAGACGCTTTTTTCCTCCTTCGATGTAAGGGAGACAACAGTTTTTTGTGTGTATATTCCATACTTGGGTGAGGGAAAATTAAATAGTAAATACTAGCTTCTTCCACTCATGGTTAATTATAAAGGTTTCTACACCGAGAAAAACTACATATATATATATATATATATATATATATATATATATATATATATATATATATATATATATATATATATATATATGGCATTTATGTAATTACATAGTCAGACATTTAAAAAATCATTTTAAGAATCCTGAACCCCATTACACGTTTTTGTTAATATATTTTGGAGACATTTAAAAAACAATCTATTTGACCAAAGGAAATTGGTTATTAAAATGAAAAGTCATCCCTTTTTTCAACCAACTGGAGACAGCTTGGTTAGACTGCATTTTTCAAGGATGTAGGACAGTGTTGTTGCCTGGTAATAAGACACCTTTTAAATCTGAGATATATGTTATGCAAATTTTTATCTGTTGCTAGGACAGACTGGGTAGTCATTTTAGGTTCAATAAGGAATTTATATTTTTAGCTGTGAAACTGACATTAAAATCACTGTTCCTTTTTTTTAACTCCATCTATTTGACAAAGTTTTCTCATGGTTTTATAATAGCAACATTCACAGCTCCTGTATCAAAACTGACATTTTTAAAGGTTTACACAAACAATTTTCATTTACATATAATTTTAATATGATAAATTTGAGTAAATCGTTGGAGACCAAGATAAGACCTTAGTATGAGATTTCAGGTCTGAGTCTTTCGAGAATATTATTATATTAGATACAGATGCCTTACTGTTCTGGGCCATTTTCCACTAAAAACCACCTTTGGGGTATAAGTATTAATTATCCCCATTTTACAGATGAGGCAACTGAAGACTATTTTTATTTTACCCAGAAGGGAAGATCTAATTCGAACTCAGATCTGACTCCAAACAAAGCTTGTGGCCTTAATTATCATATGAGCATCTTTAAAGTTATGCCACCATGAAGAGTGTGTAAGGGTTTAATAAGTTTTTTTGTTTTCTTTTTGTTTGTTTTAGATGATGATAATTCTGAAGAAGGTTTCAACACTATTCATTCAGGAAGACATGAATATGCATTCAGCTTCGAGCTTCCACAGACGTAAGTATTAGAAGTAGCAGGCATTTTTCTTAGACATCATTCTTTAAAATTCAAATTATTCCAAGTTTAAATATTTTTAGTTTTAAGAAAAAAACCCTTTTCATTACTGAAACTTGCTAGAGGAAAACACTATACTAAAAGAAAGAAGCTATTTTTTAATCTAGTGTGGCAAAATTATAGAAAGGAAAGCTTAATTCTTAGTACTCTGTTCAAGATTTATGAGGTTTTAAAAACTTGAATAGTATTTCATTTAATGTGACTTAATTGGAAGGTTCTAGTTAAATAGTTAAGCACTTAGCATACTTAGTTTATCATCAGTTAGCATTAGCAGAAAAGGTAGAAACATGTCGAGTCTCCCATTCGGTAATTTATAAAAATTCAGTGTTGTGTCTTTTTTGCTAGCTAATGTTAACCAACAGCAGTAAGCTAAAAACATAAACATAATTTGGAATACTCTAACTTTAGAAGTGATGTTCTTTTAATAAGAATTCAGTAGCTTCTGTGCAAAGAACTATTGAGAAGGTCACACAACAGATATTATGACCTAGACTTAAAAGTAAGCATCCATCAGAGATACCTTAATATAAGGCTTGAAATCTACATAAAAGGAAAGCGGTATATTCTTCATGTAATAACAGATTGTAATAAGATTATAAAACAAATTTTTTTTAATAATGCCTTTAGTAGATACAAAGACTTGCAAAGTGGCAATTGTACTCGTTGTTCTGGAGAATAAACATATTACATAAGATTTATCAAGTGCCTGATGTACATAATTACAGATTTTTAAGTCCAGTACTTGAGTTGTTATGTGGATAGACTTTATAAATGGTATTTTTCAGAGTATTCTATTTACCATAATACTTAGGAACATCATTTTGAATATAATACCCTGATCTACTTTCTGAGAGAAATATTTTAAATTTGTTAATACAGTAAGGCTCATGTTGGGCCTGAATATTTAAAAGGATGGAGGTAATTTAATATACATATTTAAAATTCTACCTGTAAACCTAAGTAGTTTAAAATAAACTCTAGAATAGACTAGCATAAATACTGCATTTTATTTCTGTGTGCTGTACAAGTTAATGCAAGACTAAAATACAAAAAAAGAAAACAAATTGAAGTACCACTATTTCTCATACTAATCTAAGCTACAATAGCTCTCTACTTTGTCAATAACTGAACATTGCACATTTTTCTAATGAAATTAGGAAAAAGAGACTAAACTTATGAAAATAAAATCTTTCACAAATAATAAAATCTGGGAGAGTTGAAAAGTAGTTCTGATTCTCTTGATACAGGTCAGTGTCTAGAATTTTTCGATAGAAATATTGGGTTGTTGGAAAAGTCATGACATATTTTTTCTTTCTATGTTTTTCATTGCAAAAATGCATCATGACTTTCCCGACAACCCAATAGTTAAGCCATTTTTAGCTTTATTTTTAAATTAAATTCTTGACCTTTTCAAGAATTGTTCATTTCCAAATATTCATAATTTTGCCACCAACATTAAAAGTAGACTCTTCTTGGCTGGCCGAGTGGCTCAGTTGGTTAAGAGTACGCTAAAGAGTGAGCTCTGAGCAACAGCGGTTCGAGTCCCGTCCCGAGCTGAGCTGCCAACAGCTGGGAGGATGGCTCAGCATAAAAACAAATAAAAAAAGTACTCTTCTTTGTTTAAATGAATTGTACTATTCTGGCTTTTTAAGCAAAATTTCTATAATATTTATTATCGTTATTTGGAAACAGGTTTTTTTTTCCCCCAATGACTTACATCCCTTTGGAAATTTTTAAAAATTTTATGTTTGATACCTCATTGATAAACAGTACAATATATTAATACTTCTATGCTGACCTGTATAATTATTAGAAAGAGGTATAAAATTAATATATTGACCTTTATATTCTGCACAGACCACTTGCTACCTCATTCGAAGGCCGACATGGCAGTGTGCGCTATTGGGTGAAAGCCGAATTGCACAGGCCTTGGCTTCTACCAGTAAAATTAAAGAAGGAATTTACAGTCTTTGAGCATATAGATATCAACACTCCTTCATTACTGGTAAGAATTGACTGAGTTCTTCATTCTTTGTTTTTGGTATATAAATACTAAATAATTACCTAAACTATGATTTTATAGTTTTAAAATAGTAGTTTAAACTCCATAAATATTTTTTTAAATACAGTCAATGATACACAAACTATTAAAAGAATATGCTCATATTTTCTGATATTATAATTACTTGAAGTAAAATTTAAAAGACCAGTATATGGTATGAAATATCTCTTTACTCAGAAGATAACAGCAGTAACAGAATAAATCTGTTCCCTGGATAATTTTAGAAGAGGAACAGTAGTATTAATTATTATAAGACAATATCACTTAACTTGAAAATATCATAATCTACAATTTGTGCTACTTTGCATTATTCCAATATAGGGATAGTTGTCAAACGATGGGGAGATTATTATTTTCATGAAAAAGCAATTTTGTTTTAAAAGAAATATTTTTTAATCATTTTTTCACAAAATTCAAATTTGACTTCAAAAACTTTAATTGGTTTAAACAAATAACATCTTTAAACAAATAAGAATTTTTTGAATGAGCAGTTTTCTGTTTACATACTGATTTTTACATTCTTAAAGAAAGATGTTAACATTTGAGATTATAACCATGTTGCTTACCAACCTGCCTTTTTATTTAAGGCAGTTTAAATGGAATGTGGAAAGGGTTTTTTGTTTGTTTGGTTGGTTGGTTTTTAATTATGTATATATAAATAATGTGGGCTAAGACTGTGTTTATGGAATATGGTGTTAAGCCCTGTACTCTTTTTTTCTTTAATTGAATGAACATAGATAAAAACAAAATTAATAATATAAGTCAGAGCCACTGGTTAATTTAAAGAAAAAATATATTTGGATACCGAAAAAAAAGGCAGCACTGCTTTTAATTTTAAATTCTCCAAGATTTTAGAATTGTATTTAAAACATTCTATTAAGTTGTCCCAACTCATACATTGATCTTTCTCAATTTATTTCTTACAGTCACCCCAAGCAGGCACAAAAGAAAAGACTCTCTGTTGCTGGTTCTGTACCTCAGGCCCAATATCCTTAAGTGCCAAAATCGAAAGGAAGGGCTATACCCCAGGTACGTATAAGATGGAGTCCCACCCAGAATAATCTTTCTTCACTTAGCTTTTCTGGTTAAATGTACAATATTTCTACTAAATGTAAACATAAGACAGCATTTTTTTGGTAAAATAACATAAATTGTGCTTATCCAGTTTGCTTTCATAAATTGGAATATAGTCTCCTTTATTAAATAGCCACTGTAAATAAGTAGTTTATTTTTTATAACTTAAAGTTACTTGCCACCCTTAGGACAGCTTTTCATCCTTGTAGTCTGTTGAATTTTTAAACTTTAGCATAAGAATCTCTGTTTGTTTTGGAGTTTTTGTTTGGTTTAACAGTAGATAATTTTCTTTTTTTCCCTCTAGGTGAATCAATTCAGATATTTGCTGAGATTGAGAACTGCTCTTCCCGAATGGTAGTGCCAAAGGCAGCCATTTACCAAACACAGGCCTTCTATGCCAAAGGGAAAATGAAGGAAGTAAAACAGCTTGTAGCTAACTTGCGTGGGGAATCCTTATCGTCTGGAAAGACAGAAACGTGGAATGGCAAGTTGCTGAAAATTCCACCCGTTTCTCCGTCTATCCTCGACTGTAGTATAATTCGTGTGGAATATTCACTAATGGTATGTATAAATTTAAGAGTTTTTTTGTTTTTTGTAAGTCTTAAAGTCATGAAGATATTTTGTCTGTCTGACATACAGAATTTGATTTTTTTATTCCACATATGATATATACTTTAGTTTGAATTGTAATTACTAATTTTACCTTATGTAAATATACTATACAGTATTATGGAGAAACATCATAATGGAGAAACATTTCTTGTATGTCATATGCATATAAGTAAAAAATGAAGTGAATGAGGGCCTCAAATAACATTAAAATTGGGTCATTAGTTTTATAAAAGAAATAGTACTTGACATTCTAAACTTAACATCTCCTTTCACTGTTTAGGTATATGTGGATATTCCTGGAGCTATGGATTTATTTCTTAATTTGCCTCTTGTCATTGGTACCATTCCTCTACATCCATTCGGTAGCAGAACCTCAAGTGTAAGCAGTCAGTGTAGCATGAATATGAACTGGCTTGGTTTATCCCTACCTGAAAGACCTGAAGGTAATTTAATAATGTGTATCTAAGCTTAGCCTCTTATTATTTCAAGAACATAATTTTGCTTCTGATATTTTATGATTAGATAAACTTTTATCTATACCTGAAGAGTAGATGTGCCCCTAATGTTAGATTTAAAATGTGTATCCCCCTAGTTTTGAGGACAAAACAAATAATTATTATTTTACTTTGATATTTCTTTTTAATACCTACTATTCTGTGTATTTTGACATGCATAAGAACATGCTGTTCGAACTGCGTGTATCTTTTTCCTTCAGCACCACCCAGCTATGCAGAAGTGGTAACAGAAGAACAAAGGCGGAACAATCTTGCACCAGTGAGTGCCTGTGATGACTTTGAGAGAGCTCTTCAAGGACCACTGTTTGCATATATCCAGGAGTTTCGGTTCTTGCCTCCACCTCTTTATTCAGAGGTAAGTACCAACTCAAGTGTGAAATGGACTGGCTCTCCTTTGTAACAACAGCATTGCAGACTTTTTAAAAATACAGTTTGATTTTGATTATAATAATACAGAAATAATTTAAAACCACAGATTAATAAAAGTTAAATTAAGTTTGTCAATATTTACTAAGTTTGACCCAGAGATAGGACTGTTCGCTTGTATTATTGGGGAAATAAAGATAATGATCTCGCTTCATGCTTTCAAAATGCCAGTTAAAGGAATAATTTCTGGTTTAAAGTATCAGTAGAACTAGCATTTTGCAAGCATTGATTAAATAGCAAAAATTTATCTTATTATCCTTTCCATTTTGATTTCTTGCATATTTTAACATTCTCAGCCATAGGGAAAGATAACATTTGGGAGCAATAATATCTAAACAACATTCCTACACTGTTAGATTATTTTTATTTATTTCATATTGATGACAATTAAGCCCTAGTTGAATAAACCATGGGCTTTACTTGGGAGAAGCGCACAGTCTGGTGAGAAAACCAAACTTAGAAGCAAAATATTACAGAACAATGTGAAAGGAAAGCACTGTTCTCTTGAGGAGAACTTCCTCTCTTGAGGAGCAGCTTATTGAGCCTTAGAAATCAGGAGGCGCTTCACTGGGAGAGGTGATGTTTAAGCTGAATCTTGAAAAATAAGTACTCCTGAAAACGGTACGGAAGTTCAGGCAGGAAGAACGGCATGTGCAAAGGCAAGTAGGTACAGGGGTGGAATCCAGCAATTTCAATACATGTTTTGAGGAGCTTTAAAGTTAGCCTTGATACCAATATAATACCGAATAATTCTGTAAATCGCTACATTTATTAGCTTTTATCCTTTCGGTTGCTGTAGTTTAGACAGCTTTTTTTCAGTGAAATAAGACATAAAAGGGATTGTTTCACTCTTCAACAAATTGCTCTTCTTCTCCCCCACAACCCCCAATACCATGACTGGAAGAGTCGATTTTCCTTTGAATTTAGCTAATATGAGATCCACTTTATTCATTGATTATAAGATATGCCTAATCTATTCTTGCAAATTCTTGATTAAACAATTTTTCTATCCAACTGTTCCTATTCATAAAATTTTCCATTAGATGGTAAAAAATGTTCTCCCGCTTGTTACCGATTTTGTTACTACATTTTTTTATTTAGACATTTGTCTTCTTAAGTCAGTCACTTCTGATTGGATCTGAGGCTTGGCTGTCCAGTGGGCATTTTAAAAGAATGGCAATCTAAATATCCACTTTTAAGCAATTTGTCATAAAATTCTACCTTCTTTTGAAATGAACTGAAGATGATACTTAAAAACTTAAAATCCTAAATTGGTTCATGTTGTGATTTAATTAACATCTCGCCATATAAAAGTGGGAAAGTTCTAAATTGTATTAAAGCTATTTTAAATTTCTACTTTTAATTTTTTTCTTTAAAATATAGTCATTAAAAGAAAGAAAAGTTATTTGGCTTTTGTCCTTCAAAAGTGTGTTTTACCTAAAGTGGCTGCAGCACTTTGGATTGTCCCGTATGTAGATGCAAGTAAATGGGTCTTATCCAAAAATATCTTTCAGTAAAAGAAATGTATTAAACCCAACAATTTGCTTTCCTTTGCCCATTCTCTTTGTACCTGAGAAGCAACTAAAATATATTCACTTTTATTAAATGTATGTGTATATGAAAAGTTACTCCAGGGATAGAGAAGGTAGGAAGCCTCTAGCAGCAGTTCTCAACCTGTGGGTCGCGACCCCTTTGGGGATCGAACGACCCTTTCACAGGGGTCGCCTAAGACCATCGGAAAACAAAAAGATATTTACATTACGATTCATAGCAGCGGCAAAATTACAGTTCTAGAGTAGCAATGAAAGTAATTTTATGGTTGGGGGTCACCACAACATGAGGAACTGTATTAAGGGCTCGCGGCATTAGGAAGGTTGAGAACTGCTGCTCTAGAGCATTTTGGGTTCAGCATTGCTATTTCTTGATACACAGTGTATTCCTGAACCTTCTCTGGGGTTTTCTACCTGTGATTTATTACCTCACATAACACCAAGAACATTGTTTACACGTAACTGCATTCTTCTCAAAGCCCACAGAAGAGTTGACTTTTTTATAAAAGAATAAAAGCGATACTTTACAAAAGATCTTTTCTATAAAGATGTTTTCCAATGTGTATTTGAGTCTTAAGTACTACTAAGTGCTGAGTAAAACTCCATTCTCTGATAAAATTTAACCATTAGCTTTTGTGAAAGATTATTTAGGCATATAAATTTTATAAATTTTATTGTTAATCTAATAATTGCATATCAGGCACTTTGTAGATTATATTAGTACCATTCCCTTCCCATACAAGCTGTGTATATTCTTTCTGAATAAATTTCTCAATACTCAAAATGTTAGTCATTTGCTGCATTCTTACTAGATCTTATCAAATAACTATTTTTTTTTCTATTTTTTTTCTAGATTGATCCAAATCCTGATCAGTCAGCAGATGATAGACCATCCTGCCCCTCTCGTTGAAGGATCACTTGGTTAAATCAAGTTGATGTGGATTCTGAACTGTCTCTCTTCCCGGCTGAGGACAGAGAAGTATCTTGGAGACACGTTTTCAGAGGAAGTGGAATTGCTTTTGCCCAGAAAAATGGCGAATACATGAAACAACCAGTGATCGTGCTTTAGAAGCCTACAGCATCATGCTAGGACTGCTCCAACATGCTTGAAGATCTAAGCTTTTCTCCTTTAAAACTGGCACATACCAAGAGCAGTCTTCTTAGCCTATGGTCATACGTGTCAAGACACCATGTTGTAAAGAGGGATGATTTCCTTCTTTTGATTTGAAAATTTGCACATGCTCAATGCTTACATTGTGCGGTTCGATGTCACTACAGCTTTTTTTTTTCCCCATTTATGCCAGACTCTTGATATTCTTTTAAAACTTGTTTGTGGTCAGCACGACAAGGAACAAAAGAAAGCTTTGAAAAAACGTTAACATGAAAAAAAAAAACGCACTGACTTTTTTTTTTTAATTTAATATATCCTGGACTTGACCTGCGTATGCACATGCTCAGAATTGTCCTACTAGGCTGACCATGTATCACCTCTTCAGCTTGGATCCTATTGTGGATTTATTTACAAACATCAAATGCCTTCAAGCCAATCCTTCTTGCTGTATGTTTTGCAGCCTACTGTAGTAGATACGCAACAGATATGTGGGAAAAGAGATAAGAGGAGGAAGCTAATAAGAGACTTTTCAAGATTGTATACCTTCTTGGTTTCTTTAAAGAATTTGTTGCCTTTCTACTATTACAGCAAAGCAGCATTTTGTTACTGACTGCCTAAAATCACTTAATCTCAGGTGAACGCATCACTTGCCAAACTGTTGGAATGCTATTTGTGTTTTGTTGCACTGTTATTTTTTTGTTTGTTTGGTTGGTTGGCATTTTGGAGAGGGAAATTTGGAAAAGGGACATACACAAAAGTGATAACCCACCCACATTCCCTTTTTATCATTACATATGAGAAGAAAATAGAAGCGCTATGAATGGAGTAAAGAAAGGCAGTATGGCAGGCACCAGCAAAGAGTTAAGGGCTGTTGCTCTTAAAAATTTGTTATTTTTATTTTTCAAAGTATGGAAGTTTTCCAGTCACTAGAGAGGAGAAAGTGCATTTATTTTTATACAGAGTTACTTAATTACCTCCAAAACACACGTGTTGGAAACCATTTTTCCTGGTGCAGAGTATTTTAATGAGCAGGAATATATGTATGTACAGGTTATGATTAGAGAGCTCAATTTATACATTTTCTATCCTGCTCAAGCTTGACAGAGCTTGAAAACCCAAGTTTATTCAAAAAGTATATAACTTCAAAATTATAAATGCTAGAATGTGTGCTGGAATAATAAATGTTTTATATCTTTGTGGGTTTTTTAATGCAAGCATTTTTTTCCAGTACCTAAAGAACATTTTGCTAAACATGAGAAATTTATGTACTTTGAGTATATATAGATAAGATAGGGAAATGGTCACATCAGTAAATTATAGTTTATATTAAAGATAATTTACAGTTGGCTCATAACTGATATACCAGCATTCATGATGACACTTAAAACGGCATTTTCCAAGGTACCAAGTATACTGATTGTCTTATTTTAGAAGGAATTCAGCTCTGACGTTTTTAATGAAAATCAGCATCTCTGATGTTGCAACATACATGTGACATGGTTGTTACATCTATCCTGCCATTAACCCCACAGTTAATAAAGTGGCTGAAAATAATAGTAACTCTGGCTTGGTGCTTGACCTGGTTAAATACTGTCTTAAAGCTTCATACAAAGCAAATAGGCTTTTCCATAAGTGGCCTTTAAGAAAACATGGAAGACAATTCATGTTTGAAAAATGCTGACAGGGTGAAGAAAGCCCAATGTAAAAATGAATCGCGTTTTAAGTGATTCGGTTAAAGGGTTTGGGCTCCCGTAGCAAACTAATACTAGATAATAAGGAAATGGGGGTGAAATATTTTTTTATTGTTGTTAAATCATTTTGTGAATGTCCCCCTCAAAAGAAGCTAATGGAGTATTTGGCATAAAGGGCATTTGGTGGTTTCATTTTTGTTAGAGGGGGATTGTCAGAGGATCCCTTTTCTTTTCTCTTATATCTGACTAGGGAACAATTGTTGATATGCATAGCATTGGAATACTTATCACCATATACTCTTATAAATAACACAAGAATGACCAATATTCTGGCAAATTGGCACTGGGTCACAAAAGGATAAAAGTTTAAATATATATAAAACTTTATCAAATAAAGTTTTATTTTCTTCATTAAAGTATTTCTTTACTTTCTTATTTAGAGGCATTACTTTGCTCTTTTCTAAGTATTGGTCAATTCCTGATATAAGATGTGAGGTTCACAGTTGTATTCCAGTATTCAAGATAGATTCCTGATTTTTCAATTAGGAAAAGTAAAATCCAAAATGTTAGCAAAACAAAGTGCAATATTAAATGTTTGCTTTATAGATTATACTCTATGGCTGTTTGTAATTTCTCTGTTTGTTTTTTTTTGTTGTTGTTTTTTTTTCCTTTTTTATTTGGTGCTGAATATGTCCTTGTAGGCTCTGTTAAGAAAACATGTGGGAAATGATTTGATTTTTCCTATTGCTCTTCCTTGTGGAAAATAAAGTGTTTTGTTTTTTTCTTTTTTGTAAAATTGTTTGGAGATTTATTTGAATCTTGATCATATTAGTAACTCATACATGCAAAGATTTAAAACTACAATTTAACTCTTAAGCCGTTCTGGTTAAGAATTGTGTCTAGTCTCTAAAGAAAATTACTGAAGACTTAAAGGAATTAATACTAATTATTGTTTTACTTAATAAATCATTAAGTTATGGCTACTTCCTTATAAAACTTGTAACTTAGAAATATAAGTTTCAATCTTATATATGAACTAAACCAGGTAAAGTAGTTTTACTTAGGTACCAATTTCTTGCTGTGTTATGTCCAAGTTTCTAGTATTTCAAGAGTGCACGGCCAAGTTTCTAGTATTTCAAGAGTGCACAAATTTAAAATCTATCTCATATTACTCCTATGAAAACAATTTCTAACTTTAAGTCTTCTTTGTCTTAAAGAATCTGAATTTTATAGTGACTTGTAATGTTAGAAATACTTCTATAGTCACATTTAGAATTTACCTTTCAGTGTTTATACATATACAGATGAGCTATCAAGTTGTGTTTGTACCTTACATATGATTCTGCCATATTCTCAAATGTACATACACATGTAAAAATGTGTTACAACGAGATTTAGACAAATATGTTTATAATCCATTTCATAGAAATGCATTTATTCTTGTTAACTAGAAGCCAGCAATCTACACAATGTCCAATACACTAAGGAATGGGAAGAGGAATAGAGTATCAGAAGGGGAGACATGAGTTCTGGGTTCTGTGACTAGTAGAAGTTTCCTTTAACAGATACGTGAATTTTGATTTCTTCATCTACAAAGTGGAAATGTATGAGTTATCCAAAGTCCTTTTCATCACAAAGTATTTGGTTATAATCTTTAGAAAAAGAAATAATGCTCTAACTCAATTACTGTAACACTGAAATTAACCACATTGCTTCTAAATTTGCATTAGAATACTTTTAGACTGATTTAAATATATGTTTCAAGTTTAAAAGAGGGTTATCTGGCTCTGCTTTTGCATTAAATCATCTATACTTATCAAACTACCCTTGTTATAATTTCGTGAATGGCCAAGCTTGGTATGTACAGAGGGTGCCAAAAAGATGTATACACATTATAAGAAAGGAAAAAACTTGTATACCGATAAAAGATGAATACAAGTCACGTGTATACATTTTTTTTGGCACCCCCAGTATTAGGACTTTTGATTCTAACAGGGAGAAATTCAGACTAGCTTAAGTAAAAACTATTAACTAGTAATTCCAGGAAAAAAACTATATTTAAAACACATTAGATCCAGAAATCCAAATAATGCTCTGGGGACACACTCTTGTCTCTCATCTCTGTTCACTCATCCTTTTTGATAATTGCCTTATTCTTGTTAGGTGAGCCAGGAAAGATGACCCCAACTTTTATAGCTCACAGAAATGCCATCTGGATCCTCAAACCACTTGTTGGGGGACATTCTGTTTGGCCAATGCTTGGGTCATATCCCATGCCACATAAAATGGGTTTCCCGATAGAATTCTATTTCCAGAAGGGAGAAAAAGAGGTCACTGTTGTCCAAACCAGCAGCAATATCACCTGGGAGCTTGTTAGAAAAGCAAAATATCAAGACCTATCCCAGAATATCTACCCAAAATACCTGTTTACACGATTCCCAGGTGATCTGTAAGTACAGTAAAGTTTGAGAAGCTCTGCAGCACATCAAAGAAAAGTAAGATGAAAACACTGAATAGGCAACTTTGTTTTCACAAATGCCACACTATAACTGAGTTGAGGATTTGGGGCACTTGATAAGTGGAAAATAATCATGCCATTTTTAATCCCAAAGCATATTTATGACTAGAACTTCATAACTACTGAGATGGTGGCAATTATAAACCCCTGGAATTCAAGTTCCTATGTCAACAATCAGCATTTCTCAAAACTTACATGACTTGATGAAATATTTTGCCTTTTTATTTCTTAATTTCATAATCAATACAGAGGGGAGATAAATTTTTCAATTCATGAGAAAAATCTTATTGATAAAGCAGTTCCTCAACTAACATTGTTTCATTATAATGTTGATGAGAAAAAAAAAATTGATTCCCAGCCAGGGCCAGTCTGTGTGGAGTTTGCACGCTCTCCCCATGTCTGTGTGTGGGTTTCTCTGTGTCCTGTTTTCTCCCACATCCCAAAGATGTGCATGTGAGGTGAACTGGTGTATCTACACTGTCTCAGACTGAGTGGAGGTTTGTGTGAGTGCGCCCAGCAATGGAAGGGTGTCCTGTCTAATTGGGGACCTACCTTGAGCCCTGAGCTGCCGAGATATTCTCCCACCTCCTGCCACCCTGAACGAAATATGGAATAAATGGGTTGGAAAATAATTATCCTACTTTTTTTTGCATAATACCATTATTGTTTGGGGTCTTTATTTAGAAGTTTGATGATGTTTTTGTGACCAGAAATATGTCGTGGGAACTTGTCCTGTTTATATCAATTAGGCTATGGTAAAATTGGTTTCATTATACGTGGTTTTGCTTGAAGTCACAGTTTCCAAGAACCTATCGATGACATTAAGTGAGGATTTAGTTTCCTGTAAGAAAATTTATTTTGACTTGAGGAATGTAGTCTGCAATCTTTTTAAAAAAGAAAATAACCAGATGTGGTAAACACATGAATATGGAAAAGTCACTTCAAATCCAAGACAACTAGTAGTTTAAAAATCTAAAAGCATACACCAAACTAGAAATAGAACCAGCATCACTGTTTTCGGCTGTTGAACAGCATGAAGTTAAACATATAAGGAAAATAATATTTGTTTCAAACCAGTTTCACAGATACCAACTTAGACAAGTGATGTTAAGATAATACAGAGAGCCAAAAAGCAGTAATGTTGCTTTATAATAGTTTCTAGCATTTATATGTTAAAAGTACATAACCTAATGTGATTAAAGAAAAAAAGTTTATAACATTTCTATTAACTTCTAATACATCAAAGCTAATTCTACTGGAAATGGATTTTTGCTACTTCTAAGTTCAAGACTTACATAAGCTCTCAACATCAATTTCCAATCCAAACAAAATGATTATTACCTCTGGCACTGGCAGGTCTCAGGGAACACCAATAAAGTTAAAATAGTGAGTTAGAACATCACTTGCTATAATTTAGAGTTCTGTTTATTAGTTACACAAGATAGTCTTACCAATGTGAACAGAAGAATGTGAAAGATTAAAATATACTTCCCTAATTTTTAACCTTATAAGATAATTTTGCCAAGTCATACATCTAACAGATGATACCACTAATGAAAGTCAAAGTATTACACTGTTATTACTTTTGATGATATGAATTTTTGCAAAAAGAAAAAGCTATCTGATCCTTATTGAATATGGGAATTTGTACTTATTAGGTCATTTTTTTCATATGGATTAATAGCTTAAATAATGATAGAAATGCAAAATAAAAACAGAATAAGCAGCCACTTTCTGCTTTATTTGCTTTTTTTTTTTTTACTTCGACATTTCCGCCTTGTACTGGAAGGCATACTTTTATAATCTAGACATCTTGACAGGTCTGAATCCCAAACAGCAAGACGTTTAGAATAATAGGAAAATAACAGGAAACTAAGATATAGCATATGCGTCATGCAAACAAACCCTACACTGGCAACCTATAAAAGCATACCCAGAACCCACAACAAAAAAAAATCACACCTGCATTCTTCTCCAAATTATTAATTCCAAAATTACAAAAGCAGAGGAGAAAATATTTCCTCCCTGACACTATTCCTCTTACCATTTGGACAGCCACCTCTAGGAAACCTCTATGAGAAACAGCCATAGGCGTCCATACTGTTTAGGAAAGCAAGGGACAAATGTCCCTGAATGGGGAGCTTTTATGAGTGCCTTGAGCAGACTGGTCAGGAAAAGCCCAATAAATACCCTCATTCCACTGTCCCCTGTATGAGTTTCCTATGGCTGCCTTAACAAAGTACCACAAACCGGGAGACTTAAAACAACCTAAATTTATTCTCTCACAGTTCTGGAGGAAGAAGTACAAAATCAGGGCACAGCCAAGTTTCCTTCTGAAGCCTGGAGAGGAAAATATTTCTTTGCCTCTTCTTGCTTCTGGTGGTGGCTGGCCATCTTTGGCATTCCTTGGCTTGTAGATGCATCGCTGGAATCTCTGCCTCTGTTACCTAATGGCCATCTTCTCCTGATCTATTTCTCTCTTCGTATGTCATTCTCCTCTTCAAATTTCTCCTCTTCTTATAAGGATGCAGTCATATTAAATTAAGGACCCACCCTACTCCAGCATGACCTCATGTTAACTAATTACGTCTGCAATGACCCTTTTGTAAATAAAGTCACACTCTGAGATACTAAGGATTAGAGCTTCAACACACATTTTTGAGCCTAGAACATCCTTCTTCCCTCTAAAAAAATAATACATGATAACAGTGCAGTACCTATAAAGAAAAGCTACTTATTTGAAGTAAATACAGTTAGCTATTCCTCACATTATAGAGATTTCATCCAAAACTGTGTATATATACATATACATATATATACATATATATATATATATATATATATATATATATATATATATATATATATATATATATATATATATATATATCAATCAAAGGAAACCCCCTCCCTGCCCCTTATTTTTGGCCTGATGAGATACTGTGGTGGGCAAATACTCATCTGGTAGATACAAAACCTATTTTCTAGTCCACAGATACTAACTGGCTGAATGAACTTGAACTTGTTATTTGAGTTTTCTGGGACCCCATTTCCTGTTTCCTCATCTATTTCTTAGATGAGGTCTTTTGATCTAAGGTCTTTGGGACCCTCCAGCAATATCTTTCTAGTTAGGGTACCTGATATAATAAGATTTAAAATACCATAGCTTTGTGTTCATTCTCTGGTCTTCAAGGTTTTATATTATTGTAAATTTTTACATTTCCTTATATTTAAACTAATATTGTAGCTTAAAACTTACACAACTGAATTTCACTCTA